GCGTGTGCTACGTCCGTTTTGTTGTAGCCAGCTGGTAGCGATGAATCCGGAGTTAAAGGTCCAGTGATTCAGTGATTCCGGCGGAAAAACTGATATGTTCTGGGTCGATAACGCGCTGTGCAGACTGGCCGAATATCCGGTGATGAATGTCCAGTGATTAAAAATTAATCCTGCGGAAAAAAAATCCAATATTCTGGGTGAAACACCGCTAGCTGTGGCTAATAGCAAGTAGCTAGTTCAGTAGCTAGTTCAGTTTAGTGAGTAAGAGGCCACGGATAACGTGTGCTAACGGGCCAGGGCTAGCAGATGGATGGAATCTTCGTGGTTAACGTCGTAACCACATCAGACGATTTCGTCGGCAGACCAGTCGTGTAGGATCGGCGGGGCTCCGTGTCAACACTAGGTGGTCCCGTCCGGTTGATAGAGAGGTAGATAGCCGGGAGATGGGCCTAGCTCGGGATGATTAGCCAGACCACAGCGTCCGTTTTGTTGTAGCCAGCTGGTAGCGACGAATCCGGAGTTAAAGGTCCAGTGAATCAGTGATTCCGGCGGAAAAACTGATATGTTCTGGGTCGATAACGCGCTGTGCAGACTGGCCGAATATCCGGTGATCAATGTCCAGCGATTAAAATTAATCCAGCGGAAAAAATCCAATGATCTGGGTGAAACACCGCTAGCTGTGGCTAATAGCAAGTAGCTAGTTAGCTGGCTAGCTAGTTTCAACTGGAGATTCTAGATTCTAGATAAAAGGTAAGTCAGTAATAGAATCCGTTCCACATTGAGTGAGGCGGGTTGCAGGAAAGTATATTTTGTAGAAGGATGAAAAGTCTGATAGGGAAATATGTACGAAAAATACAAAAAAACAGGGTATTTACAGGCTATTTACAGACACACGACAGAAACAGGACTGCACTACCTCGCCATCTTGGATGTATATGAGGTGACAACAGTCTATATAGACACTAATGAAGAGACATTAGTCTATATAGGCCCTAATGAAGAGACATTAGTCTATATAGACCCTAATGAAGAGACATTAGTCTATATAGGCCCTAATGAAGAGACATTAGTCTATATAGGCCCTAATGAAGAGACATTAGTCTATATAGACCCTAATGAAGAGACATTAGTCTATATAGGCTCTAATGAAGAGACATTAGTCTATATAGACCCTAATGAAGAGACATTAGTCTATATAGGCTCTAATGAAGAGACATTAGTCTATATAGACCCTAATGAAGAGACATTAGTCTATATAGACCCTAATGAAGAGACATGAGTCTATATAGGCTCTAATGAAGAGACATTAGTCTATATAGACCCTAATGAAGAGACATTAGTCTATATAGACCCTAATGAAGAGACATTAGTCTATATAGACCCTAATGAAGAGACATTAGTCTATATAGGCTCTAATGAAGAGACATTAGTCTATATAGACCCTAATGAAGAGACATTAGTCTATATAGGCTCTAATGAAGAGACATTAGTCTATATAGACCCTAATGAAGAGACATTAGTCTATATAGACCCTAATGAAGAGACCTTAGTCTATATAGACCCTAATGAAGAGACATTAGTCTATATAGACCCTAATGAAGAGACATTAGTCTATATAGACCCTAATGAAGAGACATTAGTCTATATAGGCTCTAATGAAGAGACATTAGTCTATATAGACCCTAATGAAGAGACATTAGTCTATATAGGCTCTAATGAAGAGACATTAGTCTATATAGACCCTAATGAAGAGACATTAGTCTATATAGACCCTAATGAAGAGACATTAGTCTATATAGGCTCTATATATAGACTGTAATTAATATGTATATTTTATTGCTCCTTTTTTTGTTAATTTTTCTTGATAATTGTAGCCTTGCGGTGGCTGTCTGTTAGAGAAGTAGGCAGCTCTGTTGTCCCTGGCTGCGTCCCAATTTGGTACCCTATTCCCTACACAGTGCACTACTTTTGACCAGAGTCCTAGTGCACTACATAGGGAATAGGGTGCCATTTGGGACATAGTCGCTGTCTAACCAAACAGGGCTGATGTTAGAGCTGGTTAATGTGAAAACACACTGTAGCCCTGTCCCTGGCTAGCAGAATTACTCATAATTTACTGTCATTTAGCATACATTGTTTTAGTGTGTAGCTTACTCATTACTTCAGGAAGCAGATAAATAACTGTTAGAGAATAGCAGAAGACTTTGACAAAGTTCTTTCGGTCTCTTGTTCTGGCCCTTTTAATGATAGTCATTCTTTTGTGAGTTACAACACCCACATTCCATGCTTAATAATCTCGTGAAATGGTATGTTTTGTTCACGTGAATAAATTACCCTGCTTGGCAGGCGATTTTAAAGAACAAATGTTTGCTGGGTCTTTTTACTTTGTGTCTGTTGTGCGTCTGTTGTGCGTCTGTTGTGCGTCTGTTGTGCGTCTGTTGTGCGTCTGTTGTGCGTCTGTTGTGCGTCTGTTGTGCGTCTGTTGTGCGTCTGTTGTGCGCCTGTTGTGTGTCTGTTGTGCGTCTGTTGTGCGTGCGTAGCTGACATTGTGAACAGACAGGTGTGTGTGGTAGGAATTTCCAGGTAAACAAAAGGTAGAGCAATCACAGGTCAATTAAAAATGAATCCGGTTTATTACAAGTTTCAACAGGGAGACTGTTTTCTATTTGACTTGTTAGTGTGGTTATTTATAAGATTTCTACTGAAGTTGTGTGACATTGACCTGTGGTTGTTTACAAGAAATACTACTGAAGTTGACGGTCTGCAGGTGGCTTTACAACAACAAACTGCTTCCAATGAACTGTGCCACTGACTCTTATCTAGAAGCGATAATGCTTCCAATGAACTGTGCCACTCTCTTATCTAGAAGATATACTGCTTCCATTGAACTGATTCTGTACATAATCACTACAATGACCAGGCACGTGCACAGGAGTCTACAAGACCACAGATAATGTTCTATAAGTCCACAAGATCTGAGTTTACAAGTAATACCCCCCCCCCCCCCCAGTGAAAATGCCCCTACAAATAAGATGTATCTATTTTAAACTGGACGTACACTGAGTATACCAAACATTAGGAACACCTTCCTAATATTAAGTTGCACCCCCTTTTGCCGTCAGAACAGCCTCAATTCGTCGGGACATGGACTCTACAAGGTGTCGAAAGCGTTCCACAGGGATGCTGGCCCATGTTGCCTCCAATGCTTCCCACAGTTGTGTCAAGTTTGCTGGATGTCCTTTGGGTGGTGGACCATTCTTCATACACACGGGAAACTGTCGAGCGTGAAAAACCCAGCAGCTGCATTGCAGTTCTTGACACAAACCGGTACGCCTGGCACCTACTACCATATCCTGTTCAAAGGCACTTAAATATTTTGTCTTGCCCATTCACCCTCTGAATGGAACACATACACAATCCATGTCTCAATTGTCTCAAGGCTTAAAAATCCTTATTTAACCTGTCTCATCCCCTTCATCTACACTGATTGAAGTGGATTTAACAAGTGACATCAATAAGGTATCATAGCTTTCACCTGGATTCACCTGGTCAGTCTATGTTTATTTTATTTATTTTATTTTATTTCACCTTTATTTAACCAGGTAAACCAGTTGAGAACAAGTTCTCATTTACAACTGCGACCTGGCCAAGATAAAGCAAAGCAGTGCGATAAAAACAACAACACAGAGTTACATATGGGGTAAAACAAAACAAAAATCAAAAAAAAAAAAATACAACAGAAATACAATTAATATACAGTGTGCAAATTTAGCAAGTTATGGAGGTAAGGCAATAAAATAGGCTATAGTGCAAAATAATTACAATTTAGTATTAACACTGGAATGATGTGCAAGAGATGATGTGCAAATAGAGATACTGGGGTACAGATGAGCAAAATAAATAACAATATAGGGATGAGGTAGTTGGGCGGGCTAATTTCAGATGGGCTGTGTACAGGTGCAGTGATCGGTAAGGTGCTCTGACAACTGATGCTTAAAGTTAGTGAGGGAGATAAGTGTCTCCAGCTTCAGAGATTTTGTCATGGAAAGAGCGGATGTTCTTAATGTTTTGTACACTCAGTGTATGTGCCCTTTTTAGACATGAACACCTGCTCTGTAAATGTCTCTACACGGCCCTGGCAATTCTCCTGAAGCGACCTACTAGCCGCCCGAGTGGCGCAGTGGTCTAAGGCGCTGCATCGCAGGTTCAATTCCCACAGGGGGCCAGTATGAAAAATAAAAAAAGATTGTATGCACTCACTAACTGTAAGTTGCTCTGGATAAGAGTGTCTGCTAAAAACAAACAAAAAACCGCCTAGAACGGTTTTACTCGTTCCATGGAACTTACCTGACTCACCTGAGAGTGGAGGAGGTGAGTGATTGCACTTTGATTCAAATAACTGAATTATGTCTCCTCCCCCCAAGGCTTAAAACGAGAGCACACACACACAGGCAGACAGTATTGCAAGTATTGCTTCTCTCTCACACACCAAGTCTTGTCGTTGAATAGTTAGTCGCTGTGCTGAGAATCTTCCAGAACCTGTAAGTAAAAGCTTGCCTATTATTGATAATGATAAAAATGAAAAGGTTTGTCTAAATCTTAAAGTTATGGATGTTAGAAATCTGTGGGATATTTTTCTTCACATCTTTCAGAAAAACCGGACAGCCTGTTGATTTAAGATATATTTTTATATTAGATACGTTAACATAGTGCCAGTGATGAAGTCACCGAGTCTAATTTGAACGTGTTTTAATTTAACATGATAATGTCTTTTGCAGCTTCCTGACCGACGCTCCTAAGCACAGATCTAGGATCAGCAGCTGACCCTCATCAAATCCAAACCAGGACCTTAATAAACCACAAGGGGAAAACTGACCTCAGACCAGCGTTTAAACCCCACGTCTTCCTGCCCAGATACTGACTCTCCGTCCAGAGTTCCTCTGTGCTCCAGCCGTCCATCCGTCCATCCGTCCGTCCATCCGCACCCCAGCCAGCTAGCCATGGGTCTGACGAGCGAGGACATGGAGTGCTGCATCTGCCTCCAGCCCTACTCTCGCACGGAGAAGATCCCTCGGATGCTCCACTGTAAGCACACATTCTGTGGGCCGTGCTTGCAGACCATGTCCAGTCTCCAGAGCGGCCTGCTTACAGTACGCTGCCCCCTGTGCCGCTGGATCACCTGCACCGGGCCCATCCTCACCCTGTCGGGGTCGCTGTGGGTTAACACTGAGATCTGGGACCAGATACTAGACAGACAACAGGAAGAGGAGGAGGAGGAGGAGGAGGAGGAAGAGGAGAAAGAGTGGATGGGAGCTAACAGACAGACACAGACCACTACACAGTATGAATGGTGAGTACCCCAAGCGAAGGTGGATGGATGGACAGACTGATTTACAAACCTTCCTCTGCTCTCTGATTTTTTCCACTTATTTTCTTCTCTCTCTTTTGCCGCGCTCCCTGCTTTCTCTCGCTCTCTCTCTCTCTCGTATCTCTCTTTCTCTCTCTTTTGCTGCGCTCCCTGCTTTCTCTCGCTCTCTCTCTCTCGTATCTCTCTTTCTCTCTCTTTTGCTATCACTCTCTCTTTCTCTCTCTTTTGCTGCGCTCCCTGCTTTCTCTCGCTCTCTCTCTCTCGTATCTCTCTTTCTCTCTCTTTTGCTATCACTCTCTCTTTCTCTCTCTTTTGCTGCGCTCCCTGCTTTCTCTCGCTCTCTCTCTCTCTCTCGTATCTCTCTTTCTCTCTATCTCGGCTTCTCTCCCTTTCTGTATGGCTATATCTATTTGTCTTGATCTCTCTCTGCGTCAGTTGTATTGTTGTACTGCGATATTACTTTAGGTGACGGTTTCCTTACGATGATCGTATTTATGATCGTATCATGCAGCTAGTACAGCTTCTTTCTTAGGTTCAGACGTCTGTTAAATGACTAAATTGTCATTCTCTCTCTCTCTCTCTCTCTCTCTCTGCCTGCTCTGTTTCTTTCTCCCTCCTCTCCTGTCCTCTAGCTCTCCATCAGGGCACTCTGGCCTGAGGCTAAAACTACAGAAATTCCTGAGGAGGATGAAGCACAAAGTACTGTAAAACAAGAAGACGAAGAGCAGAGGGAAAAGAAGACTGGATTCTATCATTTCAGAGTAGGAGAGACTCACTGAGTAATGAAGCTAATGCACAAAACAGGACCGACCGGGGATGTTCCATAACGAAGCAAGGTTGAACCAATCACAAGGATTCATATGCTTTAGGCTTGCTTGAGTTTGGATATGTGTTGTCAGTCAACTAAGGGTTAAATAATAATACTAATAATAAAGGATTGAGGATGAAAAGATATTAAATGGATTGAGGATGAGGATGAAAGAATATATTAAATGGATTGAGGATGAGGATGAAAATATATTAAATGGATTGAGGATGAGGATGAAAGAAGGATAAAGGAAGTTATGAATTGATGGATGGATAGATAGCTGGATAGATAGCTGGATAGATAGCTGGATAGATAGCTGGATAGATAGCTGGATAGATAGCTGGATAGATAGATGGATAGATAGCTGGATAGATAGCTGGATAGATAGCTGGATAGAGGGGTGAAGGTTAGAGACTGTGACCTGCACAATGTGTGCCGTTTACAATACAATATACTGTGAACAATGTTTATAATTTATTTTTAATCATTTGACAAAAGGTTTATAACTGCAAGAAGGGAAGTGTATTTTTTAAATGTTTTTGTTACAACATTTTAGGGGGTAGATCAGCTTTAATATTGCAGCTAGATTGTGGCTTCTATCAATGTAATTGTCTGCATCATTTCCAATCCCCCATGTCAGAGAAATGGTATTTGTTTATCCTCATTTTACTTGTTTTATGTAGCTTTTCTGCTTGAAGTGCATGTTTTTATACTGGAGTTCTATTTATTGGTAAATAAATACATCTACTTTAAAAGAACTCTGTCTTCGAGTTGTGAAATTGCTTATTTTTATCACTACATTAGGAAAGTAACTGTCCAATATCCAACTGTTTATGGAAGCCAAATATAGTTTACATTTACATTTACGTAATTTAGCAGACGCTCTTATCCAGAGCGACTTACAAATTATACTATTCCAGGTATTCCTTAAAGAGGTAGGGTTTCAAGTGTCTCAGGAAGGTGGTCAGTGACTCCGCTGTCCTGGCGTCGTTGTAGTTGGTGGTGTTACTACATTAGGAAAGTAACTGTCCAATATCCAACTGTTTATGGAAGCCAAATATAGTTGGTGGTGTTACACTGCACAGTCTACACTACTATTTCCGAAAACAGAAAGCAACCCCAAAACGTTCCGCTGTCCTTGGTTTTGGTGTGTGCAGTAAAACTGAAACCGCTCTCTGTCACAATCATGTTTCAGAGAACCTTGTATGCATTCTTGCATATGAGATTCCCTAAAAACACGTCACTTCGATGCAGCTATAACCGGAATTGACTTTTTCTAGCAGGTTAGAAGAATTTACGCAGCAGGTTAGGATAATTAACGTAGCAGTTTATTTTTTATTTTATTTATTTAACCTTTATTTAACCAGGTAAGCCAGTTGAGAACAAGTTCTCATTTACAACTGCGACCTGGCCAAGATAAAGCAAAGCAGTGCGATAAAAACAACAACACAGAGTTACATATGGGGTAAAACAAAACATAAAGTCAAAAATACAACAGAAAATATATATACAGTGTGTGCAAATGTAGTAAGTTATGGGGGTGTCGTGTATTGGGATTATGCCTTTGTTAAATGTTTTAAGTGGAACCAGAGAGGACGTTAATTTTAGTATCAAGAGGGAATGTTTTAGTGTAACGCCACATACAACAGACAGGAAGTGTGTTGTAGACAGGGGAGACTGGTGATTGGCCAGAAGAGGGAGCCCATCTTTTTGCATTGTTTATAAGTAGGGGTTAAACGAAGAAGAAGGGCAGAGCAGCCATTCTGAGGCGTCGCTCTCCGGATGTCATGACATCTGTCACTTATGATGAAGCTTGTGATATGAATAAACCTTATGATCCAAGTTCAGTATGAGCGGACTCCTTTGTTCATCAGCAATAATTGCCACCATTCACCCGATACGACAAATGGCGCCCAACGTGGGGCTGGTCTGCATCTCTCCTCTGTTTCATTCAGCCGCCAAGCTAACTCTGTCTGAAGTGCCAGAAAAGGGTGAGTTTTCCTCACAGGTTGTTAGTTTGGATGCTATGTGATTGTACACTGGAGAAATGTACCATACGACCGTGCCTCGTGTGGCGTTATTGCTGATAACTGGGGGTCTGGCTAATCATTATAAAAAAATTTAAAAACAGCGCAAAAGTGGGTAGAGCTTATGGATTGTTTATAGAGATGTGTTGCTTGAATAGTAAGTCAAGAACAATCGGGGCCAAGATATGTATACAGTGGGGAAAAAAAGTATTTAGTCAGCCACCAATTGTGCAAGTTCTCCCACTTAAAAATATGAGAGAGGCCTGTAATTTTCATCATAGGTACACGTCAACTATGACAGACAAATTGAGAAAAAAAAATCCAAAAGATCACATTGTAGGGTTTTTTATGAATTTATTTGCAAATTATGGTGGAAAATAAGTATTTGGTCAATAACAAAAGTTTCTCAATACTTTGTTATATACCCTTTGTTGGCAATGACACAGGTCAAACGTTTTCTGTAAGTCTTCACAAGGTTTTCACACACTGTTGCTGGTATTTTGGTCCCATTCCTCCATCCAGATCTCCTCTAGAGCAGTGATGTTTTGGGGCTGTCGCTGGGCAACACGAACTTTCAACTCCCTCCAAAGATTTTCTATGGGGTTGAGATCTGGAGACTGGCTAGGCCACACCAGGACCTTGAAATGCTTCTTACGAAGCCACTCCTTCGTTGCCCGGGTGGTGTGTTTGGGATCATTGTCATGCTGAAAGACCCAGCCACGTTTAATCTTCAATGCCCTTGCTGATGGAAGGAGGTTTTCACTCAAAATCTCACGATACATGGTCCCATTCATTCTTTCCTTTACACTGATCAGTCGTCCTGGTCCCTTTGCAGAAAAACAGCCCCAAAGCATGATGTTTCCACCCCCATGCTTCACAGTAGGTATGGTGTTCTTTGGATGCAACTGAGCATTCTTTGTCCTCCAAACACGACGAGTTGAGTTTTTACCAAAAAGCTCTTTTTTGGTTTCATCTGACCATATGACATTCTCCCAATCTTCTTCTGGATCATCCAAATGCATTCTAGCAAACTTCAGATGGGCCTGGACATGTACTGGCTTAAGCAGGGGGACACGTCTGGCACTGCAGGATTTGAGTCCCTGGCGGCGTAGTGTGTTACTGATGGTAGGCTTTGTTACTTTAGTCCCAGCTCTCTGCAGGTCATTCACTAGGTCCCCCCGTGTTGTTCTGGGATTTTTGCTCACCGTTCTTGTGATCATTTTGACCCCACGGGGTGAGATCTTGCGTGGAGCCCCAGATCGAGGGAGATTATCAGTGGTCTTGTATGTCTTCCATTTCCTAATAATTGCTCCCACAGTTGATTTCTTCAAACCAAGCTGCTTACCTATTGCAGATTCAGTCTTCCCAGCCTGGTGCAGGTCTACAATTTTGCTTCTGGTGTCCTTTGACAGCTCTTTGGTCTTGGCCATAGTGGAGTTTGGAGTGTGACTGTTTGAGGTTGTGGACAGGTGTCTTTTATACTGATAACAAGTTCAAACAGATGCCATTAATACAGGTAACGAGTGGAGGACAGAGGAGCCTCTTAAAGAAGAAGTTACAGGTCTGTGAGAGCCAGAAATCTTGCTTGTTTGTAGGTGACCAAATACTTATTTTCCACCATAATTTGCAAATAAATTCATTAAAAATCCTACAATGCGATTTTCTGGAGAAAAAAAATCTCAATTTGTCTGTCATAGTTGACGTGTACCTATGATGAAAATTACAGGCCTCTCTCATCTTTTTAAGTGGGAGAACTTGCACAATTGGTGGCTGACTAAATACTTATTTTCCCCACTGTACAAGTTAGGACATTGCAGGATTTGATAAAGCCCTCGGAACAAACGAGGCGACCGCATGGTGGGCCATAAAATCCTGGTAACGCGTTATGGGTAACAGGTCAGTCAGTCAGTCATGACTGGAGTTTGGTTGTAGATTTAGTGGGGGTTGTTTGCCCATCTTCTCTCCGACGGGATATCCGCTTGGGGGGAGACCGCTCACATAAAAATATCCAGAACTCACGGCAGCCTAAAGTTAGGACAAAGGAAAAAGTAATTAAAGACGCAATGTCAGGTGCATTGTTTTTATGCTACATGGTGCATACAGGCTAAGGCTAAATGCTAAGGCTAAATGCTAATATGCTGCATGCTAACATGTGACCGTAGAGGTCCACTGCGATGGTAATAAAGCCTCTTAAATTATGTTTGTATGTGGAATTTCGGTTCTATGTTTTGTGAGCGCTGTTAAATGTTGTTTGACTATGAGGGGGAAACGGAGGTACAGCAGGACTGTTAACCGTCTATTTGGGGTTGGGGAGAGATCTAAGAATCTCCCTTCCACGGTGAAAAAGTATTTTTGAATGTATCGCGCATGCGTGGGATTTTACTAAACAACACATCTGTTACACTGCAGGGGGAGACAGGGAGACACAGACGTGGGAACAAAGAGGAGAGATTTTAACACGAATCTTATAGTTTTAAAGCGGCTGGTGTTTGAACATGAAACTATTTGTTGAGATGTAGTGAATTTATACATTAGATATATGGTGACGGAGTATAATGAATTAAATTAAATGACGGATTAAAATAAAATAATGTTTTGAGCGATCTATTTAGTCCTGAGTTAAATGACGGATTAAAATATAATACGTAATGAATTAAATTAAGTCTTAAAGCGAATATGAGTGGGGGAATGTTGAATATGGTTGAAGTAACTCAGTATTGCATTAACTACTAAAATATTTTCCTGTGTCTCTGTTCTTCTGTCATTTGAGAGGAGCAATAGGACGATACGACAGGAGAGAGAGAGAGAGAGAGGAAGTGCTGACGTGACATCACGTGACGCGGCAGAGGATCGGATCAGATATCAGGCTAGTT